TGGTTCTCCTGCTTTTCTAGCCATAGGAGAGTGAAACCCACCCATGTTCTGCTTAGTGAGTATTGTTGCTGTTCTGGGCTGTGTACATGGGTGGAGGACTCATCAGGAGAGGAAATCAAAGTAAAAGAAAGTGTGTCTTACTAATAGTGCCCCATGGTGAGGGACAGCACTTTAAATCTTTGTAGGCCACTTTGAGAAAAGCAACTTCTTTTGCTTGGACTGTATCCTAGCAGTTGGGTAAAGTTGGTAGTTTGTATGTCGGTAGTTTGGTGGCCTTCTGTGTTGAAGTATTCTGCAAAACTCCCTTAAGCAGGCATGCAGGCAGAATGGTAACCTGGGCACTCTGTGTTGGAAACAACTCCTATGTGAAGACAGATGCTGGAATAGCGTGAGAAGATCGCTCTGACATAGGTCTCATAGAAGAAGATAAAAGCAGAGCATCTCAGTGCTATTTTTTATACCTTCTTAAAGGATAAGATTCAATTAACAGTCAAGTACTGTTCTGGTAGTCCTGATGAGTTCAATAGAAGTGCCTTGCAGTCATCTCAGCTGTAGAGGAGATGCTAAATAATGTTCTATGGTGTTTTGACATAGTATAGCAGTGACTGTGGAGACTACGATGCAAGCCTTTCAATGGCACAAGGCATGAAGATGAGCTGAGAAATAGGTTAAATTGCCTATCATCTGATTAATGGAATAAGGTAATATGGCAACATCACTGACTGAAGAAATGTGTGCTCTCTTAAGTGGCTAGTAGATTTTATATAGGGGCAGCACAATTCTTATAGATTAACCTGCTAGTAGTATCTTAAGGCTAATAACTCCAAACTAAACTATTCAGTTTCTCCCTCAGTGCTGATGATCTGGCTCCGTGCCTCAAAACTGGTGGATGGGGATTTTGGAGCTCTGTTGGTGGTGGGTCATGGGACCAAATAAACTCCAGTCTGCAGGGGAATGTAGGTGTACAAAGTACAGTTGTAAGTGCACAGCATTCAAGTGCCTGTGTATTGATTTGTTTCCATACTCTAAATTTGTCGCTCAAACTTCTGTTGGTCGTTGCTCATCTCCATTATAGAGGAAATACTGTCGCTTAAAACAGTATTTTCAAGATTATGATAAAGTTCTGTTAAGAGCCTTTTTTCTGCCAGCTTAATTTAAGAACTTAATTTATTTCTTTACCTAAAATTTTATGTTCTTTACCACTTTTCTGATGGGTAACTGCATGCAGATTCACTTTCCAGCCCCAATTGTAGAAACATTTTCATGTGAGTGATCCTTCTAACTATGACTAATAAATAGCCAGACAGTCATTCTTCTGCATCACCGAATGCTGCAGGCTTACAAAGTGTATTTGAAATTGGAGACTTGGCCTAAACAGCAAAGTCTTTGGGGAGTAAACCAGTGAAGAAGACAGACCTTTCTTAGCCATGTTACTATGCATGTCACTCTCTTGCTAATGTTTGCTGTGAGAGTACAAATAAATCAGTGATTTTAACCTTATGACTGTCTGGCAGGAGAAGAACTGTGCAAGTAATTGTACATAGTGATTCAGCTTTCCATGTATCTTAAACTATTTAAGATTCTACCCGTGTATATAACAGGCCTTCTTGCATACAAGGGTTATGTTTGAATCAGCGTCTTGGTTCCCTTCCCAAGCAGTTTTTTCTTCCATCTCATCAATATCGAATGGAAACAGCAGGTTCTTAATATGTTGAAAGTGCTGTTCATACCTGCTGAGTATGTGGGATGTTGACAAATGATACAGGGTAGTGATAGGAGTGTGTTTCTCTCATCTGAAAGAAATACTGTGTGGGAGGAGGTGAAAATGAAGGATGAGCTTTTTTTTTTTTTCTCTTCCTTAATGATTGTAGGCCAGCAAGATGAGCTCTATCTTCTTCGCTTTTGTCTGTACAATTCTCAGAGCTGCATTCTGTGTCCCACTGAAACTGTGTCATTCACCTTCAGAGATAGTATTATAGGCTGATAATGCATTAACATATTTGATTTTGATCTTTCTCTAGACACTGTTAGAACTGATTCACTAAAGAAGATTATAGCTGTCCTGGTAACAGCTATGCAGTGTTGCCTCGCACAAGTGGATAGACTCGTGTTCAAAGGAGAAGGTAGCTTCAGGGCTCAAAGGATTACTAGAAGAATTAGTACTGTTTTGTTTTGTTTTGTTTTCTAGAACTGAAAAGCATGCACAAACAAGAGTGCTCTCTAACCACTTCTGGAGAAGGAATTTGTATCCCGTGTCTATTGTAGTTTGCAGGTGACTGATCCAGTGTGTTCTGAAATATGCTAGAAAGGACTTGTTTAGTCTCTCTGTCAAATTCTTGGAATGTGGATTCTCTCTTTCCCTTTGCTGATTGAGCACAAGGTAGGGAAACTTCTCTTTGCTGTATTGTTAGCGCTTTGGCAGTCTGTCCTGTTCTAGGTTTCAAAGTCTTGAGTATTACAGGATCTGTCCCTGTTGCAGGCTTTTTGTTGCTTGTCCAGTGTTCTCACTGTGTCTTTTCTTGCTGAGTTGCTTCTTATCTTACAGTAGTCAAAGAGCTTCCTGCATCTATTTAAGCTGTGAGTGTGTGTGGTGCAATCAAGCTGTCTGTCTAGTACAGCAGAGTGTAAACAGTTTGTGGGACCAATCAGAACCTCTGCTAGTATAGGAAAGCTAACTATGTGAGGCCAGTAATCATTAACCAACGTCAGAAATCTAGATTCTGTAGGACTTGGTAAACCTAGTGTGTCAAGTGAACCTGCTAAAATGGAGACACTAAATTTGGACAACAGCCTCTCATTTTTGTATTGTATTTAACAGTAGTAAATTGTGTATAGCAGCACAGTCTTTTGAAGCTGTTTTTGAAATTGTTTTTTGGCAACTCTTAAAAGCAGTGCGTTTAAACAGGGCATTGCTGCATCTGGGTCTGGTTGAATCATAGAATTGTAGAATATGCTGAGTTGGAAGGGGTGCCATAAGGATCATCAAGTCCAACTCCTGGCCCTTTGCAGGACACCCCAAGAATCACACCATGTGCCCGAGAGTGTTGTCCAAATGCTTCTTGAACTCAGACAGGCTTGGTGCTGTGACTGCTTCCCTGGGGAGCCCGTTGCAGTGCCCAACCACCTTCTGGGTGAAAAACATTTTCCTGATATCTAACCTAAACCTTCTCTGGCTCAACTTCATGCTGTTTCCTTGAGTCCTTCACGAGAGTGAAGAGATCAGTATCTGCCCTTCTGTTTCCCGTTGTAAGGAGGACCATAAGGAGGTCTCCCCTCCAACTCCTCTTCTCCAGGCTGAACAAACCAAGTGACCTCCGCAGCTCCTCATAAGGCTTCCCCTCCAGACTGTTCACCATCCTCATGGCCCTCCTTTCAACACTCTCTAATAGCTTTGTATGTTTCTTATGTTTTGGTGCCCAAAACTGCGTACGCTACTCAAAGTGAGGCTGCACCAGTGCAGACTAGAGTGGGACAATCACCTCCCTCAGCCGGCTGGCGATGCTGTGCCTGATGCCCTCCCAGGACACAGTTGGCCCTCCTGGCTGCCAGGGCACTGCTGACTCATGTTCAACTTGCCATCGACCAGGACCCCCAGGTCCCTTTCCACGACACTTCTCTTTAGCCTGTCATTCCCCAGTCTATACACACAACCAGGGTTGCCCTGTCCCAAGTGCAGAATCCAGCACTTTCCCTTGTTAAACTTCATGCAGTTGGTAGTTGTTGTAATAGCATGGAAAAAAAAGGCAAACCAACCTCAATTTGTGGTTTCAGTGTGGAAAAAGATTGGTTAAGACATCACCTAATAACTGTATTCTGCATGAGACATGTTAAGTAGCAGTATCACTTGCCCAAAGGTCTAAGGCTCTCTGTCTAGTAGAGAGCTGTAAAATTGTTATGCTAAAAGGTTTTGGTTTCTTCCTTCTTTGAAAGATGTAAATACTTTTTTTTTTTTGTAGTTCAAGAGCAATGGTAAGATGAAAATTAGTTAGTGATGTTTTACGGTTATGTGTTAACTTCTTTATATTGTACTATTGTGTTTCTTAAAGAAAAGATCAAATCTACAAAGTTGTTTGAATACCTGACTCCAAGTCGAGATTGAAGGGGCTCAGGTATCGAAGCTCAAGCGGTGATAGTACCAATCACTGATGGGTATCTGGGACCTCTGTGCAAAGGCAGAATCTGTTCCCCAGGGTTGGCAGCCAAAATAAGTGTCAGTTAATTCTGAAGAAATACTTGGGCTAATAGCTGTGCATAATTATTTTTTTTGTTTCCTTGTTGCTTCTGAAAACCATAAGGAGTAAAGGTGAAAGCCTTATGAGGGAAAAGTAAATGCCTTGTTTGTAGCATGCAGTTCCAACTCCCAAGCCACACTTAGAACCTAGAAAACTGAGAAGCAAGAAAACTTGGGTAATTTGTTATTTAACTGCTTTGTATGAGGAATTTTAATGCTTCTTAGTAGCCTGAGTGCTGGACTGTTGAAAACAGCTTGCGCATTAAATGTGTTCCACAGGGAGAATAATTATCTTTCGATACCAGAGTTAAATAAGGAAAAGAGTGATGTAATATTAAGCCGTAACTTACAGCAGCATATAAGAGATTGCAAAATCGGTTCTTTCATATCTTTTATTAGAGATGAGTACTGAAGCAGAACAGCAGCTTCTCCATGATGCTAGAAATGGAAATGCTGAAGAAGTTAAGCAGCTGTTGGATACCATGGACAAAGGAGAAATAAGCTTTGATATCAACTGTAAAGGTTAGTAGCCTTCTTCAAATGTTTTGTAATCTCACTGTTGAAGCCACATGTAGTGAAACTGGTAGTGATAGTATAATCTTGCTGTCTTTGGAGTGCTTAACACAGTAATAAAAACCCATTCAAATGGCTGCTTTTACCCCATGACTCAAGGCCATACTTGCATAGGGGAGAGATAATAGAAGCAGAGTACGGAGAGTAGTAATGTACAGAAAACCTCAGAGTAATTCACAGACGTTAGAAGTGTCGACAAGATGAAGAGACGGTACCTCTCTTTGCTTGTGTTCGTGCTTATGCCAGCTTTGGAGCTTTGTAATACTAAACAAAAGAGACCATGGTGCGAAGGGGTGGTTCAGGGAAGTAAATAGCCTTCATCGGAGCTGCAGAGATTAGATCAGGTCATTCATTTCTGCTCTGTAGGAGCATTACATTTCTTGCCACTTGCAGGAACGTTTGGGACAAATATATGGTTTTATTATTAGCATTATACTAGGTTACTTGGGAAAAGAAACTAAAACTGTTCTCCATCTATCTTTGGCCAACACTAAAGTTTTGCTCGTGTAGCTAACTTAGTTATGGCCAAGCAACTTGCGTGCTGAGCATTAAAACTTCAGACTGGGATGGGATTTGCAAGCTTGCTAGCAGTTTCAGGCTGCTTTATTTCTTTATTAATTTAGTAGCTTTATATTTCTCTTTATTTACACAAGTGTGTTTCTGGTTGCTTCAAAGAAGTGGATGTATATCCCACTCTTTTACACAGGCTAGTATTCTGTTATTGAGCATATAACTGTTAAGCAGCACTAAGAAGAC